TTCGATGCTACATCGTAGGATTAACTTATGATCGTCAAAGAACTTTCAATCTCGAAGAGAATTTTCGAGTGCGCTACTCCCGAGCCAGCACGCCTTAATGACACGTATACGGTATAACACAAAATGATAATTTAGCTCTGTTGAAAACCAGATCATGCCAGCAAGCCAGCCACTGATTTTGTACATAACATAGTTTCCACAGCAAGCTGAGTCTCAATCCTGCAACTCATTGCTCCGATCTTGGTACGTAGTCTTCACACAGACAATGCGGGTTCATCAACTTAGAAAACATGGGGCTCTAAACATGAGAAAACATTATTATCAAGGTAATAAAATGTCATTCGTGGTAAATTTATCAGTTAAATGGTAAAGCCAACTGTACGAGGGCGTACGAAATAGAAATCCAGTATCAAGCGAACCAAGAGACAACGCTTCGTCTCCATGGCAACGCAGTCACGACAACGCTGCAGGAGAATGTTCTGAACACTCGCGCTCGTTATACTCTATATTTTTTTTAGTTAGAATAAACTAAGCAGCGGGCATGAGGCATAAACTACAAGAAATTTCATCGTGCTTCATGCCAAAAGGTTGAGACCAACTTATGAATTGACTACAGATTTACAATGCAGGTTTAATCGTTTACAATTATTAATGTAAACTGAACAATTACTGGGTGTACCATATTGCTAGCTTCACACTAGTTTCACCAAGATTTAAAAAAATTAGAATACTCTGGAGTTTCTAGAAACCACTACATAAATTTTCAAGCAAGCAGGCTCCTTTAAATAATAAAGTTCGAAATTTTATCCAGTGTATTGGTCCATATGAAGTAACTGTGTAACCGAGATTGCTTTTAAAATATAAATTAATGAGCTCATTAATGAAATGAAGGAAGTATAAACACAAAGAAGTAGCTGAACGTTATCGAGAACGTGAAACGTCTAATCGATGTCACGGCCACGCGCGTACTAAGACAGTAAAGCGTGCCTAAAAGCATCGAGAGCCTTGAGCTAACGAGCACTGGAGTGTAACGTCGCTCTTAACAATCATGACTAAACTAGAGCGTTGCGTCAACAATAGAGAATGCGACGTGGTCTGCTAGCGGTCTACAGTTGCTGCAGAAAACGATGCAGCTGATCGGGAAAATCTGGACTCGCAGGCGGTTAGATAGGGGTATGTTTGAATTACACAATTACGCATTTGAATACCAATGTTTATTCTAGTTACCACTCCTTTAGTAACGAGTATTATAAACTTTGGTTAATGTATTCAGGAACCAAGAGTAAAATGGAATTTTAGTTATATAGTTGGGAGCTACCGTAAATGGGGTAACTTAGACTACTTTTTTTTAAATGATGCCATTTTTTTACTAGCTAAATTAAACTTAAATTTAAACGTGCAAAATACAGGTCTATACTCTAGCTTCACTCACCATAAATTGCTGGCTCCTGCCTCTCATAGTTTCAATGTAATTTCAAAAAAAGTGATGGTCTTTGTTACCCCAGCTCTTTGGGTATCTTAGACTGGATGGTAAAATCAATTATATTTTTTGGTAAAATAACTCCAAACAACTCCAGGTTTTGGTGCATTGTAGTAGAACTCTTCTAATTACATATACAAATGACAAATTTGAGGAAAGTGTCATAGTTTGCAAATGGGGGCGCCGCCCCAAATGGGGGAACTTCGACCACCTAATGTCAGCCATGACAGGGTAATATTGACCGGCTTGGACATTAAGCTAAAATTACCATATATAAGACTCTGTAGAGTCTGAAACATAAAGAAAAAACATTAATAGGTGTATCAAACATAAAATATGTTATATATGGTAATTTTAAATTAATTTACAAGCCAGTCTATGTTACCCCATCAGGGCTGACATTAGGTGGTCTAAGTTCCCCCATTCAGGGGCAGTGCCCCCCCATTTGCAAACTATGACATTTTCCTCAAATTTGTCATTTGTATTATGTAACTAGAAGAGTTCTACTATAATGAATCAAAACCTGGAGTTACGGTATTTTACCAAAAAATAAAAAAATTGGAGGGGGTACACCGACAGGCCTTAAGTAATAGCTCTTTTTTGTGGGTCACATTTTCAATTTTTTAACCTATTAGATATGCAAACTTTTTAAATCTTTCTATTGTGTTACGTAGCCTCAGTATTAGGCCTTTAATGCCCATTGACAAAATTTTTCTCTGTCAAATAGTTGAGTTTTGGGGGTTTTTGTTAAAAAATCTAAAAGGGGTCTAAGTTACCCCAGGAGTCTAAGTAACCCCATTTTATGGTATATGCGACCAGAATATTGTGTAGGTACGCTACCATTGCATAATCAACTGCAATTTTGTTTCTGATAAACTTTTCAAACACAAATACAACAAATAAAGCCAGAAGTTAATTGTATAAAACAAATTTAATAGGTACCAATTATTAGTATTATAACCTTAATGGTTGAAAATCATTGGCCATAATGCCATATTTTGTGCAATAACACAATGAAAATATCTGCATCAATTTATTTTGTTTTCTATTGTGTATAGCAGTACAATTTTCTTGCCATTCAAAATATTGTAATGAGTGAGATTACAAACAGTATCTAGTGAAGCTTTTTTGTTATTCATAATGATTTTTCCTTGTAAATACAGGGAAATGCCTGTCATATGAGTAGATCACAATGTTCAAGAACCTATGAGAGTTGTTATGAACATGTCATTTAACCTAAATAGAAGCTACAGGCATTATATCTAATGAAAGGTGTGGTCTCAGCAGCAATGCTTGCATTATGCAGCAGTAGCATATGTACAGATTAGAAGGTAATTTAACTAACTGGTTAATATGAATAAAGTTTTAGGTATTGAAGTTCCATGAAAACTTCTAACATGGTTCTAAATTTAATAAGCCAAAATACTCATAAAAATTTCCAATTTCTTAGAGCTTTTATTATTATGTGTTATTTATGGCTTTTAATTATTAGTAAAGATCAAGCGCTGCATCATGCCATACACGATTATATATGGTATTCACTGAAAAATGGACATATTCTAATAGGTATGTTTTTTACTAGTAAAGACAGATGCTATCAGCTAAATACAAAATTTTTCAATTAAACAAAAACTGCTGAGTTATGAATATTTCAAAACCAAAAAAAAAAAACATATTTATGGTGCCATGCTGAAAATTATTTGTAGTGCACTACATATTCTCAGCAAAGCCACATATATTTTCCTGAGTCATCAGTGTTCTCAATTCAGGTCCTGCAATAAAAATAGGCATTTCAGATGTAGACATTCTGCTTTGAAATTGCTGACAGTTTCTACCACTAACACTAAAATAGAATTTTTTTGTAGCCTACCATTGTTTTATTGACAGATGAACCAAAAAAGAAGCGGTGACAAAATCCCATTGGAGACCAAATAGTGAAGGTGGGTAGAAGCAAGACCAGGGAGGATTGTAGCATTAGAGAGAGTGTACCGATTCAGGTAAAATACTGTACCTATAAACATTTATTTTCAAGGGTTTTGTGAATTTTTGGCACATAACATTGTCTCCATTCAAGCACAAAGGAAGCAGCACACTGAAATGAGAGAAGCTAGCCATGAATATCCGCCTCATTGAGCTTTTTAGCTCATTTTCTCATTTATGGAAAAATGCACTATTGTGCTTGCCATGTCCGTCTGTCTGTCCGTCTGTGACTTCTCATTTTTGTCAACAAGAAAATGTGCTCTCTGTCACTCACTGCAGTGATTACCGAGTCATATTTTTTCATTCCTTGGTTTTGCTGCATGCAATGTATGGTAGACATTGAATGTGGTGTGGCCAAGGGCTGTGCACTAAAAAACTTGGGATATGTGTAACATGTGAGGATGTTAACTGATTTGGTATTGTTTTTTTTTTAACATGAAGATTAGGTAGAGATCAAATCCTTTAAATTTTGCATTGAAATAACAAAGAAGAATTGAAAAATATGGCTGTGGTTTTCTTTACTGAACAGCTGCATTCAAACCCACAATCACTCAAAAAAAAATAAAACAACACAAGCCATTGGTGCCTGCCAGCTTTTCTATCCAAGCCAATAGACCATAACATTTGTACATATTTATCTTTTAGTATAAAATTAAAATTTTGCATGAAATTTCAAGATTTCTATATTAAATATTTTTAGTGAAAAAAAATCCTTGCTGCTCCAAAGCTACATACATTTTGGACAAATCTTAAATTTTACAGCTTTTAAAGATTTTTTAAAAATAGAATTTAAAAATTTTGCATTCTATTTAGTGCTTAACATAGACATTGTCATCATGGAGTTACAGTTATCCATTTACAAAATGTAATTCGATATCTATGTTTGACAATACTATCAATGTTAAATTGGCTACTGACAATGCTATCAACTTCAATTGGCTACTCATGGAACTCAGATAGGGGGAGACAGAAATAATCTCTGTTTTAGCAGCTTCATCTCAATATTTCTCTACAAAATACAAGAATTGGAAACCGGACATAGGCAGCGCGCAGCAGGGCGCAGGCCTTTTCCTAATCTTCAGTGCTGACATTTCTAGTCTATTTTAATAGTCAATACCACTGGCACTATGACTAGGAGTAGGATGGTGAAGCTCGAGCCTCGATGCGGCAAATCTAAAACTGATGGGACGAGACTTGCCAACATTTTTGTGTATATTGTTAATTGTTTTATTAAAAGTAAACTAACACTAAAAAGATTGAACAAGATTTTACTGAAAATTTGCTCAGTATACTAGACCAGATCAGCCACTGAGCATCGGCCAGCAAGGTTTTGAGACAGACAGTCAACTTGATTAAACGTCAAAACCTTAGCTCGAAGTTCGAACTGTCTGCCGGTCAGACCGTCAGGCCGCAAGCGGCAAGCCGGTAGCGGTCAAACGATAATCAGGTAATTATTTTTAGGTAAAAAAATCAAATTTTGTGCAATATAAATCTGATCTGCTAATAACAATCAATTAAAAGTTTCTTAATATTATCTTACCTTGGTTCTGCTGACATTTCAATCGCTTCACAGCAAGCTTCGCTACCCTGCTAACAATGAGAACGCTATCAAACGACTGCTGCAGCTGATTCGACAATGTCTATATAAACAATGCACTCCCAGCTGACGTCAAGATAGCCCTATGTGCCTAATATTTTACCCTAAAAACTGGGAATAATTTTTTTACAGTTGATGGGCTGTTTAACGATATACAGCATTTTTGGCTGTTGGAACATTCATATAAATACTTCGTTAGCGTTGATGTCATCGTAGGCAGGGTGGCCTAGTGGTTAACCCATTAATGACGAGAATTATTTTCCGAATTTTTTTTCGGTTCCTTGTGAGAATATTATCATTTGTGATGGTAATAAGCAAAAAATATGTTCATATATTTATTTTTCGTTGTATGTGAAAAATTATAGGTAGCTTGGTTCCATATGGAACCGCTCGGCATTAACATAACGTTTCTTCAAACAACACTTTTTCCGATAGTAAATCAAGCAAGGTTGTTCATAATCGATAATACGTAATAGTATACGTATTCATAATGGACAATACTGATGATAAACCAATCATGGCAGAATACAATTCAATTTTTAGTATATAATGCTTCCATTCATTCAAAATGAATAGGAAGGTTGCCCATTTTACGTATGTTTGTGGGTACGTTGTCAACATTGTTTACGAAGCACTGCATATGCAGTGCTTCTGACGTCTCTTCACTGGCCGATGTTGTTGATTGTTGTATTGCACTTCATCAAGGATCGAAGTAGAAGGGTGCACTATAGATCCTGATTGTTTTATTTAGGGTCTCCTGCATTATTGCAGGAGACCCTTTCCTAACCGATATTTTTCAAAACTTATTGCAATAGCCATTCTTTTTTTACTGCCCAAAGTTTATAACTAAATCTCACGGGCTAGCCACGTATATGTCGTAGTATAATGTGGCCATGGCGACCACAGATGACTTTCTTCTCTGTCAATAGTCATTGTTTTCACATTTGGCGATTACTGTTGCTGCAATGACTATTCTCGACAGGCGAGCATAATTGCTAGTGGCTGCGTCATCTGAGTTATCTGAATCTCAGTATGTTTCATTTGTTGCTGCTTCTGTGAAAGGTTCAGTAGCAAATATTTGATCTTTGTGTTATTCTTCTCTCGAAATCTCAATTATTTCATGTGATAATCTGCCAAAAATACAACTAGAAAAAAGTGACTCGGATGAAAAATCGTATAGTGTTCTACGTACCTACTTCCAAATATATCAACTTTCGGGATATATATACTCCTAACAGCTCTAAAGATAATAGTTCACTAATAAATAACAGAAAAACTGTAGATCTAAGATCTAAATAAATAATTTCTAAATACAAACAAGTTTTTGAAATACAATGCGTAACTATATCACGAAGTAATCAACTGGGAAAATGATATGACCGGAATGCTTACACTACTGCCGAGCCGCCCGAGCGGTTCCATTTGGAACCAGACAAAATATTTCATGATCTAAAAGACTTTAGAAACATTATATCACGTAATACCATATACAGGATTAAAAGTACTCTCTTTATCAATAAAATTCTGCATCTAACTTATAAATAATATATTCTTAGAACGAACTACTTACCTTTCTCTGCAATGATGTCAAGCCCTTCTGTCTGACACCCGGTACTTACAATCTTTTAATGTTAACTGAGCAGGGAGTAGTCGGCGCAGCTGAACCAAACGTTGCCAGAACATGTACAAGATGTGTATCAAACCTACGCATCCACTAGTATATTGATTTGACCATACATTTTTATTATGAATCCATTTTTTTCCGCTGGTTCCAAATGGAACCGCTCGGCATTAATGGGTTAAAGTTCAGAGTACCAAGATTGGTGCAGAGAGGCGCGGGTTCGATCCCAGCTCTGTGCACCAGTTTCTGGTCAGAATCGGCAAGGAGGCCGGGCGGTTAAGCATAGCGGAATTGTAGCAGTGAGTTGCGAGTTCGAGACCGCAAAATGCTGTGAATGTTCTGCGATGTTAAGAATCGGCGACAGGCCTACGGCCTAATAACGCTGAAACCGCTATTATTATTATTATTATTTATATTATTATCGAAATACATTGAATGTAGCCAGGTCATTCTTTAATGGTTATTGGTAGATGTACACAAGAGCAGGATTGGAATTTTTCTATTTGTTTCTGAAATCTCGCGGCTTCAACATGACGAATTTTCAATACATTTGGAATCTTGCCGCTCGATATCGCACTTTTGTTAACATTTGGATAGGAGGTAATTCATCTGACGGAAATCTCGCGGTTTCAGAAATGGCGGGAAACCTCTAGTTGCGGCCCTAAAGGCAGATGTTTTCAATGCTTGCACAAGAGGTGTAGAAGCAGCCCAACTAAAATCTGCCGAACCCATGGTTGAACTAGTAGATATATAGTTCAACCATGGCAACATCCATCCGCACAGTCACGGAAGGTTAGGAATGTATATTCAAATTTCGTTCAAATCTGTTCAGTAGTTTAGAAGAAATTTCTTGGTCACTGCAAATTTCGGCCCGAATTGCTGTATAACTTACGAATGAAGGTGAAACCTAAAAATTTTTCACGAGTTAACCATCACCGTTAGGCGATAGTTACACCGAAGAGATGGCCTCTACACAGAAGAGATAGCCACGAGGGTGAGGAAAATGGATGTTGGTGTGCGTGTAGGCGGCGAAAGGTTAAGAATGCTTCTGTATGCTGATGATGCTGTGATTATGAGTGAAAATAGCGAAGAATAACAAGGCACTGTGTGACGGAGTATGGGAGGAACTTCAATGTGTGATTCATTGCAGAGAAGAACCAAGTACTTGTTGTGAATGGATCGGTTGAGGGTATAAGCAGAGTGTGGATGTTGGGAGGGAATGAGATTGTTAGGACAAATGAGTATAAGTACGTAGGGATGTGTGTGGACCATGAAGGATGTCAGAGAACAAAGGCAGCGAATCTAAGTAAGGCGAACCAATGTTTGGGTATACTTGGAAGTGCAGCAAAAGTGAGAGCGACTAAGTATGAAGTACTGAGGGAAGTGTGGCAGTGCCTAGTATTATGTATGGATTGGATGTGATAGCATATAGTGATGGTGAGCTGGATAAATTAAAATTGGTACAGAATAAAGTGGCGAGATTGGCACTAGGAGCCCCCAGGTAAACTGCGGTAGAGGCCCTGAGAGGAGACATGGTTGGAGTACCTTTAAGGATAGAAGAATGAGATCAGTTTTGAGGTATAAAGTGAGACTGGAGCGAATGGACGATGAACGCTGGGCACGAAAGATGTATATGTGGAACATGAAGGTGAGCAAATGGGCACGTAGATGTCGGGCAGTGGTGCGTAAGTGTGGTATGCATGCAACATGGGTGCGCCAAAGGCCCGCTGGGCCAAAGGACGAATAGGTGGTGAGAGTACAGGATGCGATTGGGATAGAGTGGGATGAAAAAGAGTGGAAAAGAGAAATAAATAAGCGAGTGAAAGACTATGGTAGGCTGAAGGTGTGGAAGCAAGGAATGGAGGGTAAGGACACTGTAAGACAGTATCAGGCGAGAGCGATGCCAAAATATGAATGTATGTATGATGGTAGTAGAGGTGGGGACCTTCTATTTTGTGTTAGGGCAGGCGCGCTAGGTGTGAATGGACGTACATACCTACAGATGGAATGAGAGGAGGGAAGATAAATGTTTTATGTGTGATGGGGACGAGAAGAAAACTGGAGCACTTATTGATGGAATGTGGGGCGTATGACATGAGAGAGAGAGCGTCAGTCTATGATGGAGGTGATTCTGAATGAGAGAGGTGAGATTAACGAAGTGGGGCATGAGAGAAAAAGCGAAGAGTGGATGGCATTAATTACGGGTCTGTCTGAGGGAGCAACTGCGGCTATGTTTGAGAGTGTGAAGAGATATTTGGAAAACGTGTGGAGGATGAGGAAGAAGAGGAGGAGGATAAGAGTGGGGTCTTGAGGAATTGAGGGTTGAGAAAGGGGAAGGTGGGAAGACATGTGACCGTACCGAATTGTTTTAGTACGTTGTTTTATTTTTTTAGGCTGATGCAAAACGAAACGAAAATGTTAAGCTTTTCTTCTTATGACTGCTGTGAATACTGTTTAATTAAATATTTTTGTTATGATAAGAGTGTGAACTTTTGATTTTTTGGTGCCAGTAAAAGTTTTTAGACAGCGTGTATGACTGGTATAAAGGTCGTGACCGGAGGTCACCCCGCATTTCAATTTCAGATCCTGAAGAATACGTGAACGGTGTACCAATTAAGTTTAACCGAGCTGTGTTCATTAGTTTGGGAGAGATTCCTTGGTCACTGAATTTTGATTGGCCGTAAACATGGTTGAACTATGAACCAAAAAAACTGCGTTGTAACACATCCATGCGACAACATTTCTTCTCGCTTCGAGTCACCGACATGTGGAACAGCCTCCTTGATAGCATCGTTGACGCTCCGAGTATGAATGCCTTCAAGAACAGACTAGACGAAGCTATCAGGAGCATATGTTCAGTCTTAAAATGCCCAGCAAATTACGGACCAGGCAATAAGTCCAGACGAAGCTATGCAGGAGTATATGTTCAGTCTTAAAATGCCCAGCAAATTACGGACCAGGCAATAAGTCCAGCAGCTATCTCAATCAATCGTCAGTTATGGAAAGATCGGGTTCCAAAGGCCGGATCCCTTGTGAATCAAGTCACGAAAAATTCAAGAATCGGCAACAGGCCATGGGCCTATTTCTTTAGTGCCGACACTTCTATTCTATTCTGTTCTTTTCTATTCTAACTAGTTCAACCACGGGCCGTAAATTAGTCTGAGAACTTGATGATGATGATGATATATTTTTCAGGTGTCGTAAAGGGCCCCAAACAGGTCAGTTGTCACACCTGGACACGGCAATTTCAACGCTTCTTTTCAAGTTTGCTTAGTCGTCACTGGTTTCTATGGTTTCAAGTGCAGTTAACTTGGCAGGACTTTAGCTTCACAATATCCCAATCCGGCCGGTACTTGTGAGATAGGTTATTACGGCCTTGATCACAAGGTGTTGCTCCTGTTCTGTGAGGTCACTCCCTCCCAGCA